TTATAACTTTTTCTTTATTTTTCTTCTACCATATGAAGTATATAGCATATGAAGAACCTTTAGTATGGTTCCATATGTTATAAGTATGGATTCATGGGTTGGAAGGTGGTTCTACGTCCAAAAACGGACTTAGAAGCCAAAACGACCGGTTCACCGGAAAATAACCTTTTAGAGGTTATTTGTATTAATATGGGTTTTATGATTATAAAACCTTGTTAGGCACTTGTAAAGGGTATTTCAAGTGATTTCACAAAGTTGGAAAAGTCGCCGGAGTTGTCGCCGGAGTTGACCAAAAGTCGCCGGAGTTTCACCGGAGTTCAACCAAGAAGGGTGGAACTTCATAACACTAGTTCAAGGTGAGTGGACGGCTTAATATCTTATAACTTTTGGGTTAATTATGAGATTACCTAAATAAATGTTATATGAGTTCATAATGATGTTTAAAAGATATTTAAACATGTGATTAGCCAATAGGGTTAAGTTTGTATAAAAGAAATAAATGATTTATGCATGGAATATGATATGAGGAATTACATAAAATCCATATTTGTTTGAAAGGTATAAGGAACACCAAATGAACATTATCAATTTAATTACATGATGATTAAGTCGATAAGTGTAAGACTTGAAATGGCGGTCAACGACAGCGTTGACCGGTGGATAATGGATTAATTAATATCGGTTGATATTAGTTAGTTATACATTTATAGAATCGCATGGTTTGCATGGATTGTGATACATAAGCTTTATGTATTGAATTAGTTATGAGTAACTAAGTGTGATATAAACTCTATCTAGGTTGATAGAAGGTTGATCATAGGAAAATATTTTGGTGGAGGACCCTAGTACTCAAAAGTACTTAACACTCAAAATTTGGTGGAGGACCCTAGGACTTAAAGTCCTTAACACTCGGATTATAAATTGGTGGAGGACCCTAGGACTTAAAGTCCTTAACACTCAGATTATAAATTGGTGGAGGACCCTAGTACTTAAAAGTACTTAACACTCAAACTTGGTGGAGGACCCTAGGACTTAAAAGTCCTTAACACTCAAACTTGGTGGAGGACCCTAGTACTTAAGAGTACTTAACACTCAAACTTGGTGGAGGACCCTAGTACTTAAAAGTACTTAACACTCAAACTTGGTGGAGGACCCTAGTACTTAAAAGTACTTAACACTCAAAACTTGGTGGAGGACCCTAGGACTTATGAGTCCTTAACACTCGCAAACTGGTGGAGTACCCAAGGATTATGATCCTCAAAACTCATAGATTATGATATTGAAATAGGGACAAGGAGGAGTCCTATACACTCATTGGTATATGGGTGGGTTGGGGTTTTTAGTCAAGAATATTGACTATTACTATTCTTCCCAAATAAAATGGTGATCTACGGATCGGATATTTTCCAAGTATATATTTATACTAATAAGTATTTCATAACTTGGGAGAAAGACTATCTATTTAAGTATCACCCTATGTTTGGGTCTTATACTTGAAACGCTAGTTATTCTATATTTAGCCTGCTACTCGCTCGGTACTTGTACTGACCCCTTCGGGGGGCCCCACCATTTTCAGGTTGAAGCTAGGGCTTGCTACTTGCACCTTCTCACGGGTGGTATCAAATCAGGAAGACGTGGTTCGTGCTTCCTTATTTTCTTTCAAACTACCGAACACTTGCTCATGGACATTTGTTCTACTATAAACTATTTTTGGGGCTTGCATGCCCATGTTGTTGGCCGGTTGTGGCCTATGACTTACCGTTGAATATTTTCCGCTATTCATTGGTTTAAATGTGATGTTGTTATGTATGTTTACTACTGAGTATGGATGGATTGCTTTCTCGAACGCCTTGTGTAATTGAGTGAGGTTGACTCGTGGGTGACGTCACTTAGTTATACGGCGGTTGTACACGCGCTTGGATTGCGGTCTGGGGCGTGACACAAGGGCCTTATTTATAGGCTTAAGCGCCATTCCGCAAACCAACGAAAAAAGGACACGTAGCGAGAAGCACTTCCGGGGACACGTGTCAAACAGAGATGGAACGTCAGGTAATCATGACATTGCCTAGAAAACCCAACCAACAGCCGCAAAGAACCGTCAAATCCCTGCATCGGGAATCTGCGAAGCTCATCTCGAACGGATTGTACCGAACGGCAAGGGAGCAGCCTTTCTACATCCTTATGTCCCAAGCACGCTCGGAACGTCGGAAGTGGGGGACTTGTGTTGGGATGTTGGGGTCCGGCCCAATCATCCAGCCCAAAATATCCTCGAGCCCCAAAAGAAGTAGCAAAGCCCAACAAGTACTAGACAAAACAAAAGGCTCCCGATCGAGCTATTTCCAATTGGGTATTTCCCGTTCGGTTGTTCCTGAACGGGTTGAATATAACACTTGACGATGAGGAGCGTCATTCATGACTGCATATTAGATTGGCCCAAAGAGCAGATCGGGAAGCCCTGCAAGTGGCAAAGGGCGCATTTAATGATGGGGTATGAGTGCTCAAGTGGAAGTATGAGCGCTAAAGTGCCAGAGAGGTCATCCACTCAGGGATGGCCACGTCATCCACCCCACCTACCCATTTCTATATAGTATAAATAGTAGCATTTATTCCATTGTAAAGAGTTAGCATTTTGATACTCACTGGTAACATAATCTCATTCTAGCTCTTGTATTAGCAACTGGACCGTAACTCCCGTTCGGCCATTTCTCTGTAAACATAATTACACTAATAAAGTTGGGCTATTGAATCATCTTTGCAGTAAAGAATCTTTCCCAGTTTCCTTCTCTTCACAAGCATATTAATAATATTCAAAGGGTTGTGTTGGGCCTTTGGATCTAGACGAATTAACCTCAACAGAAAGCAATTCACGCAATTCCATCTATTGGATCGGCGGTGGTTCAGGATGGGGGCGATCCGCCTCTATGATGTAGAAGAAATCAAGATTCTTGATTGATGAAGAAGCTGGTACAAACCTTTTACTAGCACAAGATAACACCTGACTGGTGATGGCAGGGAGGATACATCTGGCAAGCGACACTTGGCCACCGAATGAAAATAACATCTCTAGACAACACTAAGAAGTAAACACATATGTAGAACTGACAATACAGATTAAATGAAACATTTTTCATGATTGAAGCGAAAAAAAATTGAAAAAAGAGAAGAAAAGAAGAAGAGGGGGAGGAGGCTAGGGTTTACCCATCAAAGCTTCTCTCTCTTCGTATAACTCTCTAGGTTTTTCGAAGTCTGGTCTTATAAATGACTTTGATTGTTATGCAATTAATATGTGAAATCACTTGGACCACTAAGTTATCGAACCAGATTTAGAGTTCGCATTGCAAATAAATACGTAGTATTTTTAAATATATTTTTATGAAAAATTAAAATATAGATAATAGAAAAAAAAATATGATCTTGAGGTTAAGGTGTTTGATTAAGACAATGCCAAAGCAAAACCATGTCGCAAGAAGGATGAGAGGTAAAGTTCTACGTAGTATTATGGATGAGAGGTAAAGTTCTACGTAGTATTATGGACTTAAAATGATTGCAACGCACTCTTACCGAGCCCGAGCCCCGACCACCTGTTCGATCTACACTGAACTATTATAGAAGACTAGAGAGATCGAAGTCTAAGCTATTGAATGCAAGTTTGCCAACTCTTTACAATGAAATAAATGCGGATATTTATACTACAAAAGAGGAGGTATAGGGGATGATGTATTGAATCCCTTAGTGGATAGCCCTCAACCATAAAATCTTTCATATCTAATGCATTAATTGCGTTTCCTGTTAATTCTGGTCTTCCCGGTCGAGCTTTTGGCTTTGGTGAGCTGAAATTGGGTCTGCGTGCTAGTTGGGCCACCTGCGGTATTTGAACCCCTAGACTCAATGCCCCAAAACATGATTTAGTAACTTCTGGTGACAATGTAGTTTTATACAAATATTACATGTAGTGACTACTTGACACTTGTATAAAAGCATGTCCATATTTACAGTAGAAACATTTTTATCTATGAGTAATATTTTAAATATAAATACTTTAGGAAAAAACTCAATAAACACTCAAAAACTCAAAAAACATCCAGAAATTAAATATGACTGAGCCTAATGATTTTATATAAAAAAAGCTGTGTTAAAAACCTAATGATTAAATAAATAATTAAAAAATCGAAAAGGCATATGTTAAAAAATTTAATAAAAACGAGTTACATACATTGTATGGACTAATGGACTATATATAACCAATAACCAAATTTGTGCGTTAAAGGGTTATGCATGCATTTTTCTAATTATTGCATCATCTATAAAACTGGATGGGCTATATATATATATATATATATATATATATATATATATATATATATATATATATATATATATATAAGTATCGCATTTTACTAACTAGTTTTTCACTCGTGCGCTGCACGGGACATCAAACTCTTGAATTTATAAGGACTTACGTGGATACGAAAGCTTAAATGCAAAAGAAAGAATCCAACCCAGGTCTAAGAATCTCACTATTTCTTTGGATTTTATTATTTTAATGGATTTCAGTCATCCGATACTTTTTGTTTCTTCAGGTTTGTCTCTACATTAACTTTCAGTCTGTCACTAAGAAGGGAACCCTAACTAAGGCCCTTAGCACTGTCTTCATATTCAGGCTCCCTAACAATCAAGCAGAAGTCGGATATTGAGAAGCACCATCAAGGATTCCCTATCACACCTTAAACACTCCATCTCTAAAATCATCGCTCCCAACTTCATTCTCCGGAGGGTTTCTTATTGTATAGAATTTCACAACAATCTCATGAATTCTATATAATTCAATAAAATTTCACAAAATCTCAGTCCTTTAAAATCTTTTAGAATCCTTTGACATTAGCAGCCTTGATTATTAAAGCATATATGACAACAAAATTACTATAAATATCAACAGGTGGCTTGTACTACAAATTATACGAAGTAGAAAATATAGAACTTTGAAAACGATAAATTATGAAGTGTAAAGGAACATTAAACTATTTGACAAACATGAACATGTATCGCATTCAGAAAGGACACAACACACTAACCACGGTGCCGCAATATTTTTAATGATGATAAAAGAATGAGAAACCCCATATGTATAATCGTGAAAAGGTGAAAGCAAAGGTTAAATAACCCCAATATACAACACCAAAAATTCTAAGATTTAGACTCACTTGAAATGCAAAGAAAAAAATAAATTGAAAATTAAACATGGAATAAAAATAGTACACTGCGGTGACAATGACCCAAAGATAGTGAAAGTGGCTTACACGCTCTAGTGACCCGTCAAACCCAATGGCCCCGGTGCCCCAGTGAATCATCACCACCAGTATACCCGACAACTATGACCTGCAGATAGTAAGAATTACAACACACTCCAACCAATGATGAAGCCGCACTCTGGCAAGTGACACGAAGACAAACTCTAGAGCCACCACTGCCTACTGCGCTCGCCATTGCCCTTCCCAATCCAACGCCATTGGCACTGCCCCGAAGTGAAGCAAAGTACAATGTGCACATTAATGCAAATAGCTTACTGTAATAGATGATGAGCCACCTCTTGAGCTGCTAGATTTGCAAAACTAAGATATTAAACTCATTCATAAAATTTCTTCTTCAAGATGAACTTGGGGAATTTATTATTGCACCTGGAGGTTCTAAAATCATTGGATTTCTGTTTAAAGAGACTATTGCACAGAAGTATATGAAAGAACTATGAAGGAAAATAACTAATAATCCAATATGCCAACTATTACACATCATCATGTCTTGACAGATTTTCTTTCAATCTTTAGAAGTGATGAGATTTACCCAAGCCCCAACTCCTAAGTGGGTTCAGGGCCATGGGATGATTGAGATCATCTAAAAGGACACATAGTCTTTAGATATTCTATAAAACAGAGAGAGGTTGTATGTTTTTTTATTTTGGTATATTGAAAAAGAGGATGAGTCACCTATTGAATTGTTAGTTTTTCAAGATTAAGATCTTAAACTCATCTTTAAATCTACTTCTTCATTTGTTCCATTAAAATGAGTAAATAAAAAATAGGGAAAAATAATTAAAATACCCCAAATTTGTTCCCTAAAAAAAATCATATCTAAGTAAAAAGTTTAGAAACATAGTAAGGCTTAAAAAACCATAGAGAAATAGTTTAGCCATTATTTGTCAATAGGATGTGATGACCTCACAAATGAAGACGTTTATTACACAAGATTAGAGATGATTCTAATAATTGTTATTACTTCACAACATTTATAATTGAAATTAATTATCATTGATATTGATAAATAAGGTTGCATAGTGAGAGGTATAAAGAAAAATCTCAATGACCAACCTTACTCCACAGATTATATAAATAGTAAGGTACACAATTTTTTTTTTATATTTCCTTGCCAAGAGTGATGCAGGAATTCCTTATGATACCCAATGAATGGTCTACTTTAAACTAAATTAATATAAAACAGAAATTAAAATACATGTACCTCCTCATCCAAGAGAACCATCTTAGTAAACGAATTAGTGTTGAAGTCTACCTACCTTATAGATATATTGACGTCGTAGTGAAGTAATACTTCTGGCATATACCATTACTCACTCCCAAATATTTGTCCAATAGTAGCAATTCAGCAGTGTGCTCTTCTGCTTAAATACCATTCCTAGGTTCAAATATTGTTTCAAGCAATGGTGCCCCTACTCTGTTCAAGTGAACATGTTATTAAGAAGTATGCTCTCATAAAATATAAGCACACTAAAATATCAAAGAGACTTGGTACTTGCAAGGTTAATAATAATAATAACATAAAAATGAAATGGCTGCAGTTTACCAGGCTATCAGTGATACAAAAGCAAATGTTACATGCAGTATGTTCTCTTAAGATATAAGCACGCAAGTGATTGTCGCATGTGATTTTAAATTTCAAGAAACGGAATATCTAAAAAAGACATGGTAAATGCTTAAGCTCCATTTGTTTCCAAGAAAATATATTCCTGGATGATGTTTTTATGATTTTCATGTACTTGTTATATGAAAACTTTTAAATATATTTCCATTGATTCTTTATAGTCTGTTTTCACGTAAATAGAAGAAATAAATAGCTTGCAACCTGCTCATGACCTATCCTGCAAATATTAGTATCAGTGTATGGTTAAAAGGGGAAAAATGAATAATAAGTGATGGGAGTTCAGATTTTTAATGCGCCAAAAAAAAATGATAGTCATAATGGATCCCAATGCATTTCTCAAAAAACTATTTTAGTCCTTTCAAAATGAGAACTTACAGCTATAGAAAATCAATAATCTAAATTGTTGGGTTTCTATTAGATTTGATGAAGTTTATTTTAAAAACATCTAAGACTTGGAGATTACGGCTTTAAAAGGGCTGTCCCCTAGTAGGCATTTGGTCCTTGAAAAATCCACATGACACTTGCAACTTCTGGTGGGATTCAAAATATAAAATGTGAATGTTTATTGAGCACACAAACACATCGATTTGTATCACCAAAGTAGACTTATAAACCCAGATAACTAACATGGAGATAGCTACACTTTATTAACCACTTTGCTCATTCCAGAATGAAAAGATCATAGATCTACTAAATCAATGATATTGGTGAAATAAATTGATGCAACTAAAGTGGAAGTAATGAAATAAGGTGGCTTGGTATGTGAAGTTAGATGATGTAACTATAACTCAAATGAATTAGAGTCAAAACTCAGCTTAGATTGTATAATTTCTAGTTCATCATGTCTGCCATTACTATAATCTTATATCATGACTCAAAAAGAGAAGAAAAAGATTAAAGAAAAAGAAGCAATACCAATTAACAATAAAACTTGATTAGTAGAATGAGTTCAAATGTTTGACTTTATGTCAAAAATCGGTCCATAGTAACATTATGTTACTATTTAGTAAAACTTGCACCTTTTTTTTTTCAGGAAGCTTAAGAGTAACATAGTAGATAGGAGTAACAGAAATTTCTTAGTAACCTTCTCACGTTCTCTTCCGTTTTAAGTGTTATCTCTGGCTCTATAGTTACTGCTTATTTAAGAGCAATGCAATAACAATTAAAAATAAAACTTGATTAGTAGAATGAATTCAAATGCTTGACTTTCTGTCAAAAATCTGTCCACATAATTTTTCTTTTATTATAAGGAAATGGATATATTTGTTAAATACATTTTAGGTATACATACCTTCCCATTCATTTCTCTCAGGGCTCTATGCTTCATCTTGTGACGCATATAGGTGACAAACCCAAAACCCTTTGATTTTATGAGATTCTATTAGTGACTATTTTAGCTGAAAACAAAAAATACACACATAAGGAGGTTATGCTCTTGTTTAGCTTTAAAGAATAACAAGTGTATCTTTTTTGCCTGACGGACACACCTTCAATGAATTGGCCAAGCTAAAAATGCATCTTACAACACCTTTTATGTGGTGTAAAATAATATCCCTGCACCTTTTACAAAATAGTAGAAACACAAAGTAGATCAAATAAGTTTGCCCAAATATAGGTATTGTTCATATGGTCAATTGCAATAATAAACATCAACAAGGTGAAATAGCCATTTGAAGAAATTACGAAAAGGAAGAAAATTTATAGAATACATGCTCAGTAGAGACAAACACAAACAACACATCTCATTCTATAAACGACAATTCGAATAACTCAATAACTTGTGCTAGCGCACATTAGCAGATGAATTATATTTCAAAAGACATGTTTGTACTAATTTTGCTATATATTGAAATTGCTTTGGCTATCAATTTATAGTTTCAGTCATACCTTAATGAATGGAAGGCCTGCTGAATTCTTTAAACGCATTGGATAAAGAACCATTCAGGGAATAGGAGTCTGAAATTTTTCCAAACAGCCAAAACTTCTTTCTATCTGCACGAAGAAGAAGCAATTGAGGGGCTAGGGTGTTCTTTCGATGATGTTGGTGCTCGCTGAAGAAGATGAGAAATTGAGAAGGCACCTTTCGTAGGAATGGAAGGTGTACGTGGGTGCGCACCAGATGCGGCGAAGAAACACCGAGGCCGATACAAATATCAGTGAAATTAGAGAAATTAGAGTTGTTAAAATGGCTAGCAGCGAGCAAGACTTACACAAATGTTTGTAGCCAAAAGTTACGAAAATACCCCATAGTAATAGGCGGGAAAATGACTTAACTCGTTTAATATGTATATAGATAGCCCTTGCTCTCATTTTAATTTTTGCTAATAGCGCTTTACTAATAGCACTTTACTAATAGCCATTGCTCTCATTTTAATATTTATATTTTGTAAAAGATCTGCGAATCATGCTGCTCACGCTTTGGCTAAAGTACATGTTAATTCACCAGATAAGCAGGTCATGTATGAGGTTGCTCTAGATTGTATGTTTAGCCAATTGGCTAATGATCTTTTAGATTAATAATATTTTGCTTTTGACGATCAAAAAAAATAATTAACCTCAAACGCCCCATTATTATCACCGCCTCAACGGCGACATACGATCACACTGATGACTGATGGTAATAATCCTTCCATTCAAGTTTTACTACGTGTCTACGTACATTATTATAGTACACTTATATACTTCGTATAACTTACAAAGTACTCCATATACAATACAGAAAAGTAAAAAAAGAAGTCCAAAAAAGCTATTTTATCTTATCTACAACGCTTTTTAGAATTTTGTGAAACTTTTACTCCATTGATATGGCTGAAGGACGTCATTGCTTAGATAGATTCAGGGGCGGACCGTAGTACAGACCCAGGGGCGGTCGCCCCCCCCCCCCAACAACAACAAATTTTTTTTAGTGTATATGTATAGACTACCAAAAAAAGGCGGGATTGGCACAGAATTTGGCACGGACTTATCAATTTTTCGTGCCAAATAGCTCGTGCCAAAGTGTTTTTGGCACGGATTTGGCGTATCCATGCCAAAATCCGTGCCAAATCCGTGCCGAAATCCCCGCCAATCCCGTGTTTTTTTTGTAATGTATATAATAAAAAATAATTTTCGCTCTCCCAAAAAATATTTTGTTTAAGTTACCGCCCTCCCAAGATAAACTTTCTGGGTCCGCCCCTGGATAGATTACACTCCAAAAATATGTGGCTTACATTGTCACTTAAAAAAACTACAAATATTATGATGCATGTTATTGAATGTTGACCCACTGATGGAGATCGATCATTTTGTCAATATACTCGTGTGAATATAATCAAGTACAGCACTACAACAGTTTAATTGACTAACTACATATTTACATTATATTTTGGTGGGGAAAACACCTCAAACTTACATATGTAATTTAAATACCTCAAATTACACGAATGTTCAGGTCCGGCCAGGCCGGACCACTCCCCTGTCCGGCCTCCTCCATTTGGGGGCCTTCCCGGTGGTATGTTTTGCTCAAATTTTTTTGTAGGGGATAAGGGTCAGATAGGGCCTCGAACTTTGAAAAAAATGTCAAATAAGGCCATATTTAGGATGCTATGTCGGATGACGTCATTTGGACCGGTTCCCGAAGGAATTTTTTGATGAATTTTTTTGAGAATCTTATTCATTAAGTCTAGTTTACTCATATCAAATTTGAACTAACAATTCAATCGGGAAGGCATTCAAATGAATTCTTGAAGATAACTGTGCTTTTAACGGCACAGTTATCTTCAAGAATTCATTTGAATGTCTTCCCGATTAAAGTTTTAGTTCAAATTTGATATGAGTAAACTAGACTTAATGAATAAGATTCTCAAAAAAATTCATCAAAAAATTCCACCGGGAACCACCCCAAATGGCGTCAGCCGGACAGAGCGTCCTAAATATGGCCTTATTTGACATTTTTTTTCAAGTTCGAGGCCCTATCTGACCCTTATCCCTTTTTTGTATGTTCCTCATCAAGTCTAGTTCATCCATACCAAATTTGAGCAAAAAATTCAATCGGGAATGTTGTCAAATGATTTTGCAAGTTAACTGGTCCGGACCAGTTAACTTGCAAAAATGATTTGATGACCTTCCCGATTGAATTTTTTTCTGAGATTTGGTATGGATGAACTAGACTTAATGAAGAACATACACAAAAAATTTGAGCAAAAAATACCACCGGGAAGGCTCCCAAATGGAGGAGGCCGGACGGCACTCCGGTCAGGAAATTCCTGACCGGAAGATTACTCCCCCAAATTATATATAAAAAGTTATTTTTGCACCATTGTCATGTATTATTTCTTGTAAAAATAGAAATTTATGAGGTTAATTGTATAATTTAAAATAGTAAATTAAAAGTGTTGCAATTATATAGATTGGGGGTAACAATATTTATTTTGGAATGGAAGTTTAGAATGTTAATTATGTCTTCATGAATTTTAAAATATTTTGGGAAAACTGTCAAATAGGTCCTCGAACTTTCATGAAAAGGTCAAATAAGTCCTTTTATAGGAGGTTCTGCCCGGCCGTCACGATTTGGGGCGGTTCCCGGTGGAATTTTTTGATGAAAATTTTGAGCATCTTATTCATCAAGTCTAGTTTACTCATACCAAATTTCAGCTAAAACTTCAATCGGGAACGCATTCAAATTAATTCTTGAAGATACCTGTGAAGTTAAATGAGCAGTTATCTTCAAAAAAAAATTGAATGTATTCTCGATTGAAGTTTTAGCTGAAATTTGGTATGAGTAAACTAGACTTGATGAATAAGATGCTCAAAAAAAATCATCAAAAAATTCCACCGGGAACCGCCCCAAATCGCGAAGGCCGGAAAAACCTCCTGTATAAGGACTTATTTGATCATTTTATGAAAGTTCGAGGACCTATTTGACAGTTTTCCCAAATATTTTATATTATGCAATTAACATCATAAATTTATATTTTTGAAAGAAATAATACTTGACTATGGTGCTAAAATAACTTTTTATGTAAAGTTTGAGTTATTTAAATTGCATATGCAAGTTTGGGGTGTTCATCTCACACCCCTTCAAAGTTTGAGATATTTTAATTATTTTCCCCTATTTGGTACATCGAAGCTTATGGGAAATATCATTAAAAAGGAAAATAAATAAAATATTCCAAACTTTGAAAGAGTACGAGATGAACACTTCAAATTTGAATATGTAATTTAAATATCCCAAACTTTATATAAAAAGTTATTTTACTACTATAGTCAAGTATTATTTTTTTCAAAAATGTAAATTTATGCTATTAATTGCATAATTTAAAATATTTTAGAATTCAAGAAGACACAATATAATAAACATTTTAAACTTCCATTGCGAAATAAATAATGTTACCCACAATCTATAAATTGCAACACTTTTAACCTGCTATTTTAAATTATGCGATTAACCCCATAAATTTACATTTTTTGAAATAAATAATGCATGACAATGATGTAAAAATAACTTTATATATATAGTTTGGGTGTTTAAATTACATTCGCAAGTTTGGAGTGTTTACCTCACACCCTTCAAAGTTTGATATATTTTTATTATTTTCCCCTTTAAAAAATTAAAACCCTGCTTCTTTGAAATTGAAGAGATAATCATGAGATACAACTCATACAAGTGCTACTCCCCTCTTAAAATGAATACAACATTTTCAATATTAAAACATTCACTCTGGTTCTTTTTTATCATCGACCTTTATTGTTTTTTACGTATGTCCGAAATTATCTCTTCCTTCATTTCAAATAAAGAGATTGGATTAATATAATTTCTCCCCATACACAAATTTGATCAGTTTTTTTAATAAAATTATCCTATCAAAAGAGAAATTTAATTTGGAATAATGTTGTATGTACTAAAAATTGTTTTAATGTAAAGAAAGATCATGACTTTTTTTAGAAATAAGGTGTTTTTTTGTATATTATTGCCTTGTTGGGTATGAGGTGAATAAGGGAAAAGTTGAATTAATAAAAAAAAGTGTGGAAGTCCACATAGTCTTAGCTTGAAGGATAATAACACCCTTAAGTCTTAAGATGCTCTATCTGCTGATGAATGTAAAATTAAACAAGAATGGGTGCATGATAGAAGAAGAAAATGGTCCCAAATGCAGCTGCTCTCCTTTTTGTTTGCTTCATACGCCGACAAAAGCTTGTTATTAGCGATAAATAGATAAGCGTTTAATAACTAGTTAACTACTATTGTTTGTAATCATTTAGTGTACCAATATTTTATATCATCCCTTATAATTTTTTTTATTTATTATATCTCCGTACCAAACTATTGGCTTTGTCCCATTAATGATCAAACTTGGTTGATCTAAAAGGGACGACATTTTAAAAATTGCTTATAAAATTTATAATTAATTAATACTTCAACAATATATTAAAATAATTTAAAAGTATTTTCATGTCATGAATGAATATATTTTAAAAAATTAGCTGTGAAAATAACATCAGGAAAAAAAAAATTAGCTATCAAAATTAACAGAGTTTGACCTTAAAATGAATCTGAAATAGTTTATTATATGATGAACATAGTTACATACTCAGTACTTAATATAATCTCGAGTATTAGCTTAGAACAATATTGCAACCTATATAAACTCTTGTTTTTATCGTGTCCATCATTAGTATACAAGATTTATACATGGTATTAAAAGTTTAGTAGGTAATACACTTAATTTAGTAGGGCACTAGGGCCTCACAAAGGAATCGCTACTTATATATCATATAGACTAGTAAATTGGTCGCGCATTGCGCGAATGTCATATACCCAACTCTCAATTTTAATAAATTGTGTGAAATTACTAAAATGATTTCAACATAAGTATCTACAAAATGTTTATTTTAGAAGTTATTTAATATAACATATTAATTTTCACACAAAAAAAAAAACATATTAATTTTCAAAAAAACCGAGATGTAGTTGAATTGGATGCCGTTACCGTAAAACACTATGGACACTGATAAATGAATTGAAATGTGGGTATTAAAAAAATGAAGAAATTGATTGAAGCAAGAAAAATAATTAAATGTAAGTTTTATACTCCTTATTTAACTTTCAATATTCAAAATGCCATTGAAAGTATTGTTGAATATAAAAGCTCAACACTGACCGTCCAATTTTGATTTAAAAGCTCGCGAAATTGTCCAAACTCATAAGAGTGCTGTTGAATGTTGATTGGAATCATAATTAGTTTTGTCAGT